GGTTGAAGACGCAGACCGGCGGGTGCGAGGCCTGCGCCCGCCACTCGCTCGTCTACGCGTCGCACAGCGTAACGTTGTGTCCCTTTATGGTACCGGAGGACGACGACCAACCACGTGCAACTCGCACGCGGCCGTCGGCAGGCCATGCAGTGCAGTCGACCAAGGCATAGGCGTAGGAAAGAAGTATTACTTTAACATGTAAATAAACCTACTACTGCAACAGCGTCGTGTGAGATGTCGTGTCATCGTGCAATAGACTTTGGTACCATGTGAGCTAGCTGGATGGGTCGTCGGTCTTGCGATCGCGCGGAGGGGCGAGGAGGCGGTGGTGGCAGCGAGCCCGCGTCGGTAGATGACCGAAATCTGAGGCCCTGGCAGTGCAGAATAGTATGGAATCAAACATCCTCCCGACCGACGTTTTGAACGTTTTGCTGGGTGTGTTGAAGACATTACAACGAGCTCTCGGCGCGATCGCGCTCGATCAATCGCACGGCCTCGCGCAGCAATATGGTCACTCGCTGACCGTCGCCAAGCCAGGAACCTGCCTTTTTCATTTTTCATTTACGGCTATCCATCGACTCGGTGGACTATTCGTGGTCGTCAAAATCATAGATGCCCCGGTGTATCGCGTAGAGGTGTGCGTAGACGTCGTCGGCCGAGTCGAAGCCAGCGGCGCACACGTAGCACCAGTGCTGGCCGCAGTTGCACGTGATGTGGTTGCAGCCGCCCGTCTTCTCCGTCTCGACAGAGCACCCGGGGCACGCCATCGTCGCAGGACCCGAGGCGGCCAATTGGGCGGTGACACACTCGGTGCAGCGGAACGTGGCGACGTCGTGGGGCGGCTCGGCCGCGCAGGTGCGCTCGACCAGCTCCTTGACCTTGTAGCAGCCGAGGCACCAGCCATAGTACATATCCGCTCGCCACGTCATTGATTTGGAGGCGACAAGTGCGCACGCTTGCCGGTTGTGCTTGCGGAGCACACCGAGCGTGGGCGCCCGACGGCAGAACGGACACCCGAGGTTGGACGCGAGCACCATCTTGCCCGGCTGCACGGCAGCGTACCACCGCGACAGGCATGAGTCGCAGCACTTGGTCGCGCAGCGTCCGCACGCCGACGTCAGCGCCGGCAGCGTCAACTCGTCAAAGCAGAGGTTGCAAAGGTCCTTGAGCGTCTCGATACACCTACCCCGCAGCGCAAGTGAAACCTCTCACATTCGATATTGCACCAAGTTTCTATTTTTGGCCAGCGCCGAGCCAGGGGTACCCCTGCGCCGAGCACAGCGCGCTGGATAGCGGGCGCCCGGGGCCACAGCGGCCGTGGTCATGCGCCCGCGCTGCAAACGACATTGAAAACGCTTGCGCAAACGTCTTGTGTATAAGGCCCACCCAAGCGACGAGGGCGGAGGTGCACCTGTGGCGGCGAAACGAGGCGTGGCGACCAGCGACCGCCGCCGCGACCTGGTCGCTCAGCGCGCGCAGTTGGTCGTGCAGCTACGCCTGCTCGCCTCAGCTGAAGTGCGTTCGTAGTATAAAGACAAGCGTAGACTGCTCTGTCGACGAGAGGCGTCCAGCGGCGGCTGCAGAGCCATCGCTCGCCGCGCCCGACGCGCTGGATGGACGTTGCACACGATATTCTATCTCTGAAATAGTGTTGCCATTTAAGAATAACGTAATAGTGTGGAGCACACTATATATTCAAATTGGACGTATTTGGAATGGTGTGAGCCTGACAAGAGTCGATAGTACCGAAGGATTCGTTGTGGGAGGTAGCACTGGGATCTTTCGCTCAGATCTCAGTTCCAAAATCCTTTGGCCGCCGCAGCATGGCCGAGACCTTTGCGGGACATGGCCGCGTCCGAGTCGCTCTGGAGCCGCTTGCCATAGCGCGAGGTCGTCCAAGACGCCCTCTACAACGCGATCCTGACCAAGGAGACGGTCATGATGGGCATTCACGCGGTACCGAACGCGGCCATGGCCGCGCCGAGCGCGATCGCCGGCGCTTTCTCGAGCTGCTTTAGCCGCGCCCGGCGCATGCAGTTTGACCAAGACCAGAAGCGGTCGCTTCTGAGCAACTTGTACCATGACGAGGCGCGCGTCAACATTCGCGACGCCGAAATGGAGAACGCGGTCTTGGAGCTGCGCCGGCGGATCCAAAAGATGGAGTACGAGAAGCACCGGCGCATGGAGCTCGACCAAGAGCTCGGCTTGGCCAAGAAGTCAGGGGTCGGAGACGAACCCGTCGACATGAACCCAGCGACCGACCCCGAGTTTACGCCGCTCAAAGTATCGGACATCCGCAAGATGTCGGTCGACGAGCTCTTGAGCATGGACGAGGCAAGTTCGGTGGTGCCCCAAGACTTGACAGGGTCGTCGGCGTTGGCGCGTCTAGATTTGGATGGCAACTACCTTGACCTCGTCAGCGTCGAGGCTCTGCTCCAAGCGCAGGCGCAATACGATGTTCAGGTCACCGCGCCGAGGCGGCGACAACGGCCAACCTCGTAGCACCTGCCACGTCGTCGCTCGAAGGCAGTCGCTTGCGCAAATGGCTGTCGGAAGTCGACACGAACAAGAGCATCGAGTACACGTCGTACGCGTCGAGCTTTGAGAAGCATGGGTTCCAGACGCTCAAGGATCTTGCGCAGCTGGACGAAGAGGACGTCGAGCAAGCGCTCACCGAGATTGGCATCACCAAGTTTGCCCACCGCGCGCGCCTTCGCAAGGCGATTCTGCGCCTCGGCGCGACCCCGTAGGATGTGACTTGTTTTTGATCCTATATATACGTGTATTTTGTATGTCAACCAGCATGTTCGATACCGATTCCACCAGCCGTGACGAGACCGGTATTGGGCTCGGCAGATCAATGAGCCGACGCATCTCGATTGTGCATTCGTGCAGAGCAAACCTGAGGAAACACCATGGGTGACACCGAACGCTCTGCTTCCTATCACCACGTCGCACACGTTCGTCAACCTGCGTACACTGTCGACGTCTTTCAAGACACCCTGTTATAGGCCGTAAGGGCAAAAGAATGAACCGCTGACATTTGCATTGGGTTGTTCGCGGATCCGCTCCCATTTTACTGTACCTTGCGTATCCT